AAAAAATATTTGGCAATGATAATTTCTGATATATTTTATATATACTTGAAATATGAGTCAAAAAGTCATAATTTCTGCATATTGCAGACGAATCAGTTTCTTATATCAGGGTATGTATCTTTTTATATCAGGATGCCTCTACGTTTCTTGGTAGTGCTGATACGGAATCGGCGGATCTCGGTGTGTTTTGTCGTTTTGATGACCTTAGCATACGGCTTAATTCAAGCAATAATCAYTTCTAATGGAAACCACTCACTTAAGACCCATTCCTTGTCTACAAGTACTTTCCGGCCAATCCACASTAAATCTCCTTTCTGTAACAAGAATCTCATGGATATTCCCTCTGCAGTAAAAAATTCCGAATGTCTGAGCTGTAARTCTGTGACATGTCAAAATATGCTCTTTGGAAAAGGCAACGAGTCATTTTATGCCAAAGCTAAAAGCTGGATGAGAGAGCATCCGCGGAAATTTTTGAGTGACTTGGACATTGCTTCTCTTGCTAGAGAATGTGAGAACTTCAAAAAAACTCATGGATACTGCATGGAGCCCATAGATGAAGAGGAGGCCATATTTCCAATAGCATATAACATAATAATGCACAAAGACTCTTCTCAGGTAGAGCGCTTGCTTCGTGTTATTTACCGTCCACAGAATGTGTACTGTATTCACGTAGACGCCAAATCATCTAAGAAATTAATTGATGCGATGCAAGCAGTTGCWAAGTGTTTTCCCAATGTCATCATTGCATCAAAGCTGGARCGGGTTGTCTACGGCGGATTTAGTCGCTTACAGGCGGATATCAACTGCATGAAGGATTTAGTCGCGTCACCATTCAAGTGGAAGTACTTAATTAATCAAGCTGGTCAATCTTTCCCACTGAAAACAAACTCGGAAATTGTAAAAATCTTGAAAACCTACAATGGTGCTAACGACATTGAAGGTAAACAAAGTACGWTCAGWAMTCGATTCGAGTTTGAATGGATTGAGACCGATGTAMATACCAATCATCCGAGAATGACTAAAACAGGAAATCGCAATCCTCCACCTCCATATGGAATTCGTATCGTTAAAGGAAGCGCGTATGGTATTTTTAGCAGGGCATTTGTAGAGTTTATTTTAACTAATAAGAAAGCCAAGGCACTTTTAAAGTGGTCGAGGAAAACATGGAGCCCAGATGAACATTACTGGTCTACATTGCATCATAYGTACGTAAATCCACAACTTAAGGCCCCTGGTGGTTTCTCAGGTAATTTCGAATGGGATTTATTCTAGATCAATATTAACATTCATTCATTCATTCATGACAACATTCCGAAGTATTGCAATGCGAACGCTATAGCACTTTGCATATTGACAACCTAGAGCGCGCGCACAAGGTAGTGAACCCATCGCGTGCTATGTTACTTTTAKWCTACGTTCACACGGGGCCAGTCAAGTTTGAGGACACCTCAGTTTTAGRACAGTTCCCACTGTTCACACGGAACCGTCCACATTTCGGTACGGATTGAAGCAGTGTTTACAAGGATCCGTTCATGCTTCGAATTGACACGTCCTCGAAGTGGAACGGCTTTTTACCCGGTCCCAAACCTGAACACTTTGCCAGCCTCAGATGAGGCCAGTTCCAGTGTGAACGCGCGCCTMAACTAGAACGGTTCCGAACGGAACCGGCCTCGTGTGAACGTAGCCTTAGTAATTTCTAACGTTCTATAGCGCTTTTAAAAATGATTGYGGTGACCAATTTTTTATTCCTTTATATTGCTAATATCAGGGATAGAAAACAGATATATGAGTCCGAAAAGGATCGAGATATCTAAGAATTTGTGGCGGCAACTTGTCATAATGTCTTGCGCGAAAAGACATAGATTGCGTTGAACTATCTTAATATATCTTGAATTCAGAATTGTTTTTAAAATTTGTATCTATTCACAAATCTAATATAAGGATGACAGTTAACCGAATATTGTACCTCAAATATAAGAAAATGACCCACTTGGACTTTATGACTTGATATGTTTATCAACTTTCAGCAAGTTTTCTATTTTGATCCAAGGATCTCTTGCATGGTTTTTTGTTGGTTCAAAAACTCATGCATAATTAATGAGTTATTAGGCCAATAGAATGAGCCTATTTGATAAAAAAGCTGCGGGACTCGAACTTATTACCCTCTCAATCTCCTCAAGTTTTTGTTGGCCACACTGGTCTTTTTTAGGGGAAAAAGTCGTTTAGTTTACTTAGTTTATTCGATATTCASCAGRGAATGGGGYTGATGAATTGAGTTGAATACCTCGTTATAAATTCAGCGGGCTCTATGAGTGATCCATCAAATCCTCCCCGGCGTTTAGTTTCTATCATATATACAACCCTATGAATAACAAAGAAACCCTAGTGAATTGGAAACTAATATAGTGTTCACTTTCTCACTTYAGGCTCAGACTGTTATCTCCACACTCAATGTTTATGCATATGTTTTGCTTGTGTSYAGGTGTTCCCCATGAAAAGCCGTGGCACGCCGTGTATGCTGTGTGGSSCGGRGAGAAGTGCCCAGGAGGAATTTGGAGAMATGGCGTATGTATATTTGGAGTGGAAAGTTTGCGTATTCTTCCTGCCCGAAAAGAGCTTTTCGCCAACAAATTCTATGAGGATTTTGATCCTTTGGCTTTAGATTGTCTGGAGAACTGGATCGATTACAAAACGTTTTGTCCATCAGAGTTCGATCTTAATTATTACAAATCTTTGCCATTTAATCTGAAGAATTAAATTAGATGACAATTTCTAACGGTTCTTTTCCAGTTTTACACGCACTGAAAGTGTTCTATTTCCACGTATAAACATAACAATAATATAGCTCAGTACTCCATTTTCAAATTCAAAGCAAATAACCTGTAAATTGTTAGGGCTATTGTACATTTTCTCGTGCTCTCTTTTCTGTTCGGTAAGGTTCATGGGTATCTAGTTTCAATGCTGATCTACTTCACATAATATTCATAAGGTTTTCCAGCCATCCCTGATTTAATTTGTACCACGTGCAGTAACTGGAAACCAGAGGAAGTTACTCCTACCTTGTATATCCAGTTACTTTTAGTATCCAGTTACTTCTAGTAATGTTTTTAAAGTCCAACAATAAGGACTGTATGGAATTTCAAGTCCGCCCAATTAGTTCCACTCCGAGYTTTATTTCCAGTTATTTCTACTGGAAAATTTTTCCAGACTTCTACATATATATTTTCAAACTATTACTATCTAATAATAACTAGAGCGAGGGGAGGAAGGATGACTGAGCGGTTAAAACATCTATCACTGTGGTATCACAATCAGCAAAGGAAGAAGTGACAATAGGTTTATAGTGGTAATCGAAAAATTGTATTATATTGAGCCCTAATAAAGTTAACATTACTAAGACTAAAGCAAAAATATTTCTTAAAAACTTGAGGAAAAGGAATTGAAAAGGTCTATTCTGGGACGAAACTAGTTTTCCTTAAAATAAAGTTTCTTGGCGTGACTGTGTGTTAAAGACTTCACGTATTGGGTTTAATCCTGTTCAGCATTATGAAAAATATTTCTTTTAATGAAAAACAATAAAACAAGCAATGCACTTTATAGCATTAAGCATAATATTGTGAAAGAAGTAAGCGGCATGTTTGACGAGCCATTCCCGCGGTAAACACAAATCGATAGTCTTTCATGCTCTTCGCTTAGAATACTTCCAATCATATCTTTTTCCTCAGTATAACACTGTTGGCATTACTTAGATAAGTATTGCAGAGCTTGTATAAGTTATTATACAATTCGCTTATTCACGATAGGAAAATTCACGATAAATTCCCTTCAAATGCCCATTCGAAAAACGCTCGACATCATTTATTGTTTCTATACCGCGAATGGTATGTGGATTTGTAAGAGATTTGAGCGTATTTGTAGTAGCTAGATCCGTGATTTCCATCTCTAAACGATCTTTAAACTTTGTATGCGAAGGTCCGAAATGAAGCACGAGGCAAGCTTAGAATCATTGCTTAGAAACATGAATGACAATAACACAATAGAAAAGGTCCCGGATATACCACTTTGAAGCATGTTGAAGAACACGCAATCTCGAGCCCAGAGTCTTCACGGCTAATGTCAGCGGTATGCTGACGCCGGAAAGACTCCAATCTCGAGCCCAGAGTCTTCACGGCTAATGTCAGCGGTATGCTGACGCCGAAAAGACTCTGGAGGAATCGACTGGATTTGCGCCGCTTTTCCGTCGCAAATCATGCAAATTAGATAAGTTTTGTTTTTGCCGCTTTAGAGCATCAAAATGATAAAAAAGAAGGAGGTTTAGCACACAACTTAGTTAAGCAAAGG